AATTGGACCTTTGACACCAAAATCATACATGATACAATTCTCAAATACTGCCTGGAACTATATACTACCCAACTGACATACTGCCAAAACGAATACATACCTACCCTCTCAAATTCTCTCACAAATGATGATATACAAACACTCAACCGCCCATTATCTATTATAGAAATCACCAAGGCATTCCACTCCTTCAAACCACTTAAAGCCTCAGGCCCAGATGGATTACACCCCATTTTTTTCCAAAAATTTTGGTCGGAAACTAAGCAAACGGTTATCCACACTTGTCAACATTCCTTCCATACTTCTACTATTCCATCGAAAATAAATAAAACTAACATCATCTTGATACCAAAAACAAGTCACGCAGAGTCTATTACTCAAAATACCAATTGGCCTCTGCAATACAATTTACAAAATTATTACTAAAATCATAGTAAATAGAATTAGACCCCTCCTCCCTAAACTTATCAATCCAACCCAAAGCAGCTTCCTAAAAGGTCGTAGGGCAGCTGACAATGCCATCCTTGTTCAGGAAATCATTCACTCATTTAAAAAACAACAGAGCAAATAAGCAACATGATGATAAAAATTGACCTTGAAAAAGCCTTTGACCGCTTAGAATGGTCATTTATTCGATTCCCTCTTCAACACTTGCAATTTCCACTACCTTTAATCAGGCTCATAATGTCCTGTGTCACAACTTCCTCCATCTCCATACTAATCAATGGTGCACCAACCCCTTTTTTCCAACCTTCTCAGGGTATAAGACAAGGAGATCCCTTATCACCTTACCTATTCATCATATGCATGGAATCCTTGTCCCATATAATCGAACACAATGTAGACATTTGCCGATGCCCCCCCAATTCGATTAAATAGAAATGCACAACCACTCTCACATCTAATGTTCCCGGATGACCTTATTTTATTAGCACAAGCAACTACATCTAACAACTCTACCGTAATTGAAATACTTCAACACAGTGCAAAATCAGGACAACGTATTAACCTTCACAAATCAAAATTATTTTTCTCAGTTAACGTAAATCAAATCTTAGCCAATCCCTGTCCAAAACTCTAAACATTCCTCTTGCCACCAACTTTGGCAAATACCTAAAGTTTCCAATCACACCTAACCAACCTAAAACATCAGACTACCAATATATTATTGATCGAGTCACCTCAAAACTCTCTGGAGATCCAAATTCCTCATAGCAGGAAGAACTACCCTCATTAAATCACTGCTAAATTAAATCCATGTTTATGCAATGCAAATTAACTTCCTACCACCCAAGATCATTCTTAAATTAGATCGCCTACAACGCAACTTCTTATGGAGCTCAACTGATCAAAAGCGAAAAATACATTTAATTAATTGGGATAATATTACTTCTCCTAAGCCGAAAGGGGGTTTGGGAATTCAAAAATTAGTTCCAAAAATTTTAGCCACGCTCATAGGCCTCCTTTGGCGTTACACACACTCTAACAACTCAATTTGGATGAACATTCTGTCTGCTAAATACAATCATCAACATAACCAATCAAACAAATTTTTATATATAATAAACTCACATTCAAATGCCTCCTACATTTGGAAAAGTATGACTAAAGCTACTAAATATTGTCGCTCAGGCACAAGCTGGAATGTGACAAATGGAAATAACACAAGTCTTTGAAGTGATCACTGGATCGCAAACAATTTGTCACTTCGTCACCAAGGCCCCATTCCTAGGCATGAACTAAATAAATCCTTAGCTTCCCTCATCTCAAATTCAGCCTGGGACATCTCTAGACTCTCCTTCACATTACTTCCACAAATTTGTTCCTTCATTAATAACACCCCCATATTTACAAATCATCAAGGAGAAGTTACCCCCTGCTGGCATTATACAACTGATGGCAAATTCACCACTTCTTCCGCTTATCACTACATCTTACACCAAACACCACTGGACGACAAAATTCCCTCATAATTGAATTTGGAAATTAACCACCTTACCCAATATAAAATACTTCTTATGGCTACTTATGCATGAGAAATTACCAACAAAAGCGTTCCTCTACCATAGAAAAATAACCAACACTCCCTCCTGCCCATTATGCAACAATACTAGGGAAGACATACCACACACTTTTTTCCATTGCAAACCAGCTAACACATTATGGCATCACCTCCATATAACAACACCCTCATCCAACTTCACTGACTGGCTGCATAAATTGTGCACCTCACACACCCCAATTCCAATAACTACTAAGGTTGCTTTACCCTCCTTTATACTAACACCCATCCTACTGTGGAAAATTTGGTTAAATCGTAACAAAAATCACTTCAATAATATTAATCATTCAATTGACTCCGCACCTATTATCTCATTTGCAACTCAAATAACTTACTTAACAAATATCCCTGGCAAAAAATACAAACCTACTAGGGAAGTCAGCTCGTGGTAGAATCCTCATCTGCCACATTACAAACTTAACATAGACGGGGCCTACGATCCAACATTTCATCATGGTGGAGGGGGGGGGGGGGGGGGTTCTTCCGCGATTCCTCAGGACAATGAATTTATGGTTTCGCAAAACACATAACATACACAAATGCCTTACAAGCTGAACTATTGGCGCTCTATTATGGCTTAACTATTGCCATTAGCAGAAGCATTCATCCTCTAATTGTTGAACCGAACTCACAGGTATTGCTCCAAATCCTTCAAATTGGTAGCCCAAAGTACTCACAACTTATTTCCTCTTGTAGGTCGATGATCCATGAACTAAATATGCAACAACTTAGCCACACATTTAGAGAGGGAAATGGAGTGGCGGACGCATTAGCAAAGTTTGGGAAATCCAATATGGGATCATCATTGCAAACAATCTTCTTTTTTGAAGAACCTTACACTACTAGAAAATGGCAGATTTCCGATGGCCAAAACGGTCGGAATTCGGTCGGAAATGACGTATTTCCGACTACTTTCCGACCGAATTTGGTCGGTCGGAAAAAAGTTGGTCGGAAAACAATTTCCGACCGAATCCGTCGGTGATTTTCGACTAAAGTGGTCGCAAATTTCGAAATGGTCGGACTACCAAATAATTCAGGTTCCGACTAAAATGGTCGAAATTTACCGACCGAATCGGTCGTAATAATACAAGAAAAATACATAATTAAAAATAAATTTTATTTATTTTCCGACGAAATCCGTCGAAAACTGTTGAATATAATTTTTTTTTTTGAAATTTCCAACCGAATCTGTCGGAAATTAATAATTAAAAATTAAATTTTATTTAATTTCCGACGGATTCCGTCGAAAATTTCTGAATATTAATTTTATTTTAAAAAAATTTCCGACCGAATCAGTCGAAAATCTAACAATTTATTGTTAAATCTGGGGAGATTTCCGACCGTTTCAGTCGGAATTTTGTACAAAACTGGGCATAATTCTGCCCAATTTCGAGCTACACCACCTGTCAAACTATCACAAACAAAAAAATACCAACCAACAATCTAAACCAACGATACATTAATACAATAATACGAACCAACAATACATTAACACTATCTAAATTAATAGTACATTAACAATTTCTAAACCAACAATGTCAACCATTAACACAACTTAAACCAACAATACCAACATTTAAACCTAATAATTTTGGGCATAAAAACATCCAAATAGCAGCCCATATTCAAGTTTAAAAGCAATACATAAAGTTGTCTCTCACAATCAAGTTTACCAATCAACCAAAACATCACAACTAAACTACTACACATCAGATTCAGTTAGTTCATCCTCATCATCAGATAAATCATGCCCATGTTTACGCATGAATTTCTGCATCTTAACAAACATTCCTCCTTGGGAGTCCAATTGTTGCTTCAATCCAAGAATTTCGTTTTTCATATCTTCTATCTGTTCTTGATTTTGAGGAGAAGAATTGTCTAAGAGTGGGTTTGGATGACCTGTAGGTCGATGTACTCCTAGTCCGTAAACTCTGCCTTTGTTTGCTCCACCCGCTGTCTCTGTCCACAATGAAGCCATATCATCAGGTGTTGGTTGAGTTGAAGGATGCTGAGTTTGTTGCCATCCTTCCAACCTTTTATGATAATCTTCCTGGAATGAAAAACATAACTATTATGTAAACAAACTATTATTAATAAACTATAATTATGAAGTTAAAATTTTACATATGTGTCTGACGCACGCGTCTCCACCCAGTGTTCTCTTGTACCATCATTTTTCTTTTTCTTATGCAACTCCTCGAAGACCTCAGCGTAAGTCATATCTCACCCTCTTTCCTTTTCCTTCATAAGAAAAAGTATGAGTTAGACTTTACAAACGTAAAATTCCATATGTAAAACGAAGAATTTTTTTATAAATAATTACCATTCTTAGTTTATGGGCCTCAAAAGTAATCGAACCTCCTGTGTGCAACGAGCCACCTTTTTTAGAGGCACGGTTTGCCTTTGCTTGTTCACTTTTTGCCTTCCATTCTGGGGTATTCCATTTCTCAAGAAGTTTATCCCAAACATCTTTTCTTAACCATTCCGGCATTTTACCGGAATTCCGAGCAGTACACATAGTATCTTTAATCCTTATACCAACTTTCTTCTCGAAAATAATATTTATTGCATTTTGATGCTGAGGATGTCATGTACACCTTGTCTGCAATATAAAAAAGTAACATTAGATGAAGACGATAATTATTAAATAAATATAATTAATTTTTACCCTAAATTGATTCCACATTTGCTCTCTGATGCTGTACGGTATCTCTTTCCAAGAAGTCCACGGCTCATGATAAAATGGCTTCATAGAATCTGTAACCATATGTGTAGATTGAAAGGATGGCAAAAACCTGCATTAAAGTTAACATATATAATTAATAAACATCTTTTAATTGTAAATAAATACTCCTTAATGTTAACATATCTAAATGTACATTCAAAACATAAAAATTTGTATAAGAACCTTCTTACCCATTCTTGTAGGGGACGATTATCAATCGATTATAACTATCAAATTGTACATCCCCTCCAAGATTCTGCCTGCGTCACGAGATGGTGCAGAAGCAGCACTAGATGTAGCTGGGCGAGAGCCTCCAATATCCAACCTAGATATGCTGGGAATGGATAATGATGATGGACTGAAAGATGATGGAGCAACAAAAGACGCACCATCATGCTGACTACCATGAAAGCTCGAGGGTGCAGCAGCTGGTGAGCCAGTATGCTGACTACCATGAAAGCTCGGGGGTGCAACAGCTGGTGAGCCAGTACGCTGACTACCATGAAAGCCCGGGGGTGCAGCAGCTGGTGAGTCAGTATGCTGACTACCATGAAAGACCGAGGGTGCAACAGCTGGTGAGCCACCATGTTGACTACCATGAAAGCCCGATGAAGATAATGGTATAGAAGATGTGGGTACAAAGTTAAAAACAGTGTTACTTTGACTGCCTTTAGCAGGCATAGAATAATACTGAACTGAATTATTAGATGGAGGGGGGATAGTGAACATGGTAAATGGCAATGAAGTCGACCGAGGAGGATGAGGAAGAGGATGACTCATATTTGGCATAGTTGAGGAAGTTGGAACAGATTGTTTTTTCTTCTTAGATTTCATGCTTCCCTTCCCCTTAGATGTCATATCTGTAATATAATCATAATAAAATACAAAACAAAAAATACAACAAGTGACAGTAAATATAAATAATTAAACGACTAAAGAAGTAAATAAACAACCTAACAATCACGTGATTAATAATAACAAGAATTGCATACCCAAGTCTCATCTAAGTAAGTAAACACAGAGTATAGAAGTCAAAGTGTGTGAAAAAGAAAAAGGAATGGAGAATCAGCATCAAAACCAAGTCAATGGAGGAAGCAAGAGAATTGTAGCAGTAGCTGAGAGTCAGTTGATTAAAAAAGTAAGAACACTTCAACTATTTATGCGTAGCTTTTCTTTTCATCAATTCATTTGCATTTAAAAAACTAATAACTTGTTAATATTGTTGCAAATTAATGGTACAGCGGAAACTGATTTGCAAGCAGGAGCAAACCATGGATATGAGGTAATTAAAAATAATAAACTTTGGTATGGCCAAAACTTTAGCTAGATATTCAGAGGCTGCTACATCATGTAATTTCAGAGGCTGCTGCTAATACTACATCATGTAACCACAGGGCAGAAACAAGGTGGTGTCAAGCTCAACAACAAATGATTGGCATCTAATATTAGAATAAAGTAATACACCTTTTTACAAGTGCATTTTCTTTTCTTTTTTTACTCCAAATCTAGTAATCAAGGTTTCCATTAGAGTATGATCATTCCAGCTTGTAATGATGAAACAAGGTTAAAACAAAAATATATTTTTATTGAACTAGCAATATCACACATGAAACCAAGTATTTCTGATTTCTCTTTCTGGTCATATAAATAGCAACTCTATTAAGGTGATATGATCCCCTTGGTTGGTGCAAACAACTCTGCAATTTCTTTTATTTGTTGATATGGTTGCTTTGTCATATTACTTCAGTTGTCCTCTGTTTGTTTAGATTTTGAGAAGCTGAGGATATCCTAAAGAGGGGGTGAATTTAATGGTTCCATAGGAAAGGAAAGAGGGGGTGAATTTAATGATTCCATAGGAAAGGAAGGGGTGAATCCAAGAGTTTCTGTAAAAGCTCTTCTGAAAGAGATCCTTATGAAAAACAACAATTGAAAGGCCTAGACTGGAATTCAAGAAGAGTTAAGTTAACTTATCCACCAGACCAAGATAAAAAGATCTGCATATTACAAAGTACCTGTAAACCAAAATAGTCTATAAATCCATGCTCTCCTAGGACAACTGCTGATAGTTAAGTATAAATCCAAAATAGTTAAGTATAACAAGTCAATCTTCATCTCTATCTTCATAGTAATCATCTAAGTCTACATCATCGCTTGTTTCACTTTCATCTTGTAATTCTTCCTCATCACTTGTTTCATGTTCTATACCTCTATCTTCGTCCTCATTTGTAGCAAGGATAGAAGGATCAAATTCTTCATAAATCCCTTTATTATGCTGCAATTCATCTGCTAATTCATCATCCACTATTGATTCAACATTTGAAATGTCATTCTGGTACGCCACATCTAATGCATCTTCGACTACCACTCTACCCACGGGCTTTGTTTTCAAAACTACCCGCCATGCAGACTTATTCTTGCTCAAAGGATAAGGAGCATAATACACTTGTTTCACCTTTTGTGCAATGATAAAGGGATCATAAGTCTATATTGTCCCGTGTGTTTAATTTCAACTATGTTGTATTGAGCGTGCACCTTTGTACCTCTATTCGGTGTTGGATCATACCATTTACATCGAAAGAGTACCAACTTTTTCTTCGGCCAACCTACAGCATATTCCAATTCCAAAATCTCTTGAAGCACATCATAATAATCAACATCTCCATCACCTTTCACCCACACCCTACTATTGTTGGTTTTCTTTCCATTAGACCATTCTTCTGTATGAAACTTGTACCCATTGACCACGTATTTAGACATCATTCTTACTCTAAGGTCAGGTCCCCAAGCTATATCACGTAAAAATGGGTCATTAATGCCATTAGCTGGATCATGAACCTATATATATATAATTGAATATAATTTAGAATTTTAAAATTATATATAATTAATTACATATAATAAAAATTATGTTAAATAATAAGTAATACTTACAAATTCTTTAAACCACTCTGAAAACTTCCTTTGACAGGCATAGAGCTACTAGTTTCAAATATTCATCGACTTTCTAGATGATTTTTAAGCAAAAATTATTTTGAATGGAAGTCCTAAATTGTTAGGTTGTAAAATAAGATTATTCTTATTTTGTAATGCATATTGTACCTGATTGACTTGTTGGCTGTGAATATACACTCTATTTCACCATTGATTTACTTGAAGATAGAGGTGATAAAATCAACCTACTTTAGTAACCAGCCAAATTGATCTATGTTTAAAGAACTTAAGTTAATAATCAAAGAAAAATAATTAACTTTCACCTTATTCTTCTAAAAGTAAAATAAAAAGAAGTGGATGTTGGGTTATATTAAATCAAACTTGACCCTACCCATCTCTGTCCCCCAAATTTTTCGTGATGATCAATGTTTGAGCTCAGTAGTCAGTCTTTAAATCAAACTTGACCCTACAAAGATCACTTCTTTCTTATTTTTATTTTACTTCTAAGCCAAAACTTTAACATTTCAAAAGCAAAAGAAAAGGTAGCTAAAAATAAAAATACACTTTCTTCCTTACTGGTGGGATTATATCAGAATTTGGATCATGAACTATGAAATATAGCTACTTTTACTATCTTCTTTATTGTGTTATTTCTTTGGAAAGATCCAAAACTAATTTTGGGCTTTTCTATAGTACTTAAGATAGAAAATTTTCAAATGAGCTCTACATCTGTTATCTGGTGGGTGAATTTTGGAAGAAAAGAAACCCATAATCACAACATAAAAGGAGACATGAGAATGTGAATAAATATTCGACAAAAGATCAGACGAGAAATACCTAGTAAACAACAAAAAAACAAAGTACTGGAAAAAGAAATCTCACCTTCCGTCGACGGAGCTGCAGCGGACGGCGTCGCCGGTGAATGTTGCTGGTGATGGTAGCGGCGGGTTGGGTGGGGGGAGGGAAAGGGGAGTTTTGAGTGTGAGAGAGAAAAGAAAGAAAAGAGGGAAATGAAAAAGAAAGGGGTCGGGTAGGGTTTTAAAAGTATATTCCGACCGATTCGGTCGGAACTTATGTCAAAATAGTCAAACCTCGTTTTAATAAACAATTCCGACCGAATCGGTCGCAATTTTTATTTTTATTTTTAATTTTTTTAATTGTTTCCGACCGAATTGGTCGCTAACAGTTACGCGGTATTTTTCCGCCAAAATTTACGACGGATATGGACGGAATATCAGTTGTAATTATTATTAAAAATTAAAAAATATATTTTTATGCAATTTCCGACCGGTTCCGTTGGAAATTTTGGACTACTTTTTTCGGTCGGAATATTTCGGTCGTAAATTGGCCTTTTTTTAGTGAAGATAACCTTCTTTTCTTGTGACAAAATTATTTCTATCTTTATAATAAAGAAAATCTCGTAAACGTTTCTCTTATTGTGTGTATAATTTAAAACATATTCGAAAGTAGTAATATTAATAACTAAATAAAATCATATTTTTTCAAACTATTTTTTATTTAAGTTTTTATTTTATTATTATTTTCTTTTCCTTACAAAAAATGTTCCACTCAAAATACTATATCAAATGTACATATATAACGGTATCAAGGTTGTTAAGCTTACGGGGTATAACAATTTTCCCTGTCAAGAGAAGGAAAACCATTTTCCAAAACTCCTTTTTAACCTTTCCCACCATATTTCTCATCCCCACCAACCCACCCCCACCCCACCATCCCACCCCACCCACCCCTGTCACGCCCAACACCCAACCCCCAACCCCCAACCCCCAACCCTAAATTAAAATATTATTANGCAAAATATTAAATGATTAACGGAGTAACACCTTAAAAAAGATAACAGTTAATCCTCATCGCCATCTTCATAGTAATCATCTAAGTCTTCATCATCGCCTATTTCACTTTCATCTAGTAATTCTTCCTCATCACTTGTTTCATGTTCAACACCTCTATCTTCGTCCTCATTTGTAGCAAGGACAGAAGGATCAAATTCTTCATATATCCCTTCATTATGCTGCAATTCATCTGCTAATTCATCATCCACTATTGATTCAACATTTGAAATGTCATTCTGGTATGCCACATCTAATGCATCTTCGACTACCACTCTACCCACGAGCTTTGTTTTCAAAACTACCCGCCATGCAGACTTATTCTTGCTCAAAGGATAAGGAGCATAATACACTTGTTTTACCTTTTGTGCAATGATAAAGGGATCATAAAGTCTATATTGCCCCGTGTGTTTAATTTCAACTATGTTGTATTGAGCGTGCACCTTTGTACCTCTATTCGGTGTTGGATCATACCATTTACATCGAAAGAGTACCAACTTTTTCTTCGGCCAACCTACAGCATATTCCAATTCCAAAATCTCTTGAAGCACACCATAATGATCAACATCTCCATCACCTTTCACCCATACCCACTATTATTGGTTTTCTTTCCATTAGACCATTCTTCTGTATGAAACTTGTACCCATTGACCACGTATTAGACATCTTTCTTACTCTAGGGTCAGGTTCCCAAGCTATATCACGTAAAAATGGGTCTTTAATGCCATTAGCTGGATCATGAACCTATATATATATAATTAAATATAATTTAGAATTTTACAAATATATATAATTAATTACATATAATAAAAATCATGTTAAATAATAAGTAATACTTACAAATTCTTTAAATCACTCTGAAAACTTGGGATAAACAACATCTTGCCAATGTACCCACAAAGTAACTGCCATTATAATTTTTATTAGTTAAATCAGTGGTATATTTAATATAAAAGTCTGTAATATATACGAATATATACTTACCTATAATAAGGTCGGACCTCAGGGCAATTTAATTAACAATACATGTGTTGTAGCTGACTTTAGCTCCATCTCAGACAACCTTCGCTTTGGACT